CTCTTTAGCTGTTCCTCGATTCCCCTCACCCTGTCATTCTCTCTCTGAACTAGCCCTCGGCAGCTTCTAGTCCTTCCAGTCTGAGTCCTCTCAGAGCACCAGGAAAGGATCCCTTTGCGCAACTCTCTCTCAAGGATTTCTTGTAGAACATCTTTAGGTACAACATGTCCTGTGTATGTTAGTGTGAGTGTGTGCATCTCAGCGTGTGCGCTCCATGCTCATATCTGCACAATTCTGCTCCGCTTGCCAACACACCAGTGTCTCTTGGGTTTGATAATTATTTGTGCTTCAACGCTTAATAATGGCCCAGTCATTCCCTTCATAATCACTCAACCACCTGTAAGATGTCGCTTGCTCCGTTGCCTTGCATGTCTGTACTGAAGTCTGACCTAGACTGCGAAATGACACTTTTCAAAAAGTACATTGGTCCATGTGACATTTTGACAGCGTAATAAACATAGTGCTGTTGTTAACAGACCATATCACTTCATAAACTGAGACATTTATTTTAAAACAAAGCCACATTGGTGTGCATCAAATATGCATACTGTCCATTACATGCATTAAAATACATGTCACCACTAGTATTGGAGTAATATGGTTTCTTTTGACACTCGTCTATGCTGACAAAATGGAGCCCTTTGAGAGAATTCTGTGACAATTCTAAAAAGGAGGCTTTTGCCCTCTGAAGACACCATGAAGCAGCGAGACTCTAACTTTCAAGCAAAAATCCAGTTAGCTGTTATACTCCTCGTCGAAAGTATCAGCACATAAGGACTTGTGAAGGAATCAAGGGGGGAAACCATGTCCAAGAGGCGTCAAGTATAGGACACGGATCCCATTTTGTAATTTGTCTTCCCAGAAACAGTGTGCGCTGCCATTCTAACCCCTCTACAGGGATCACTCATCCCATTTTGTCTTCTGTAAAAGATGAAAATGGTTGCGGAAAGGGAGACATTTTGACTTTGCTGTTATGTATGGAAAATAGTGGTTTATCACACACAATTGCTTGATCCGCTCATCAATCGTGCATTATCGAATTTAACCATAACTGATTACCATAAGTGTCTCCTGAGTGGCGCAGTGGTCTAAGGCACTGCATCGCAGTGCTAACTGTGCCACTAGAGATCCTGGTTCGAATCCAGGCTCTGTCGCAGCCGGCCGCGACCGGGAGACTCATGGGCGGCGCACAATTGGCCCAGCGTCGTCCAGGGTAGGGGAGGGAATGGCCGGCAGGGATGTAGCTCAGTTGATAGAGCATGGCGTTTGCAACGCCAGGGTTGTGGGTTCGTTTCCCACGGGGGGCCAGTATAAAAAATAAAAAAAAGATATGTATTCACTGACTGTAAGTCGCTCTGGATAAGAGCGTCTGCTAAATGACTAAAATGTAAATGTAAATGATTAGTAACGCTAACCTCTGTTTATACCATGATTTTCAAAAATATATATATATGTATTACGTTTGCAGTAGACATTCCTTGTGTATTGTTTGTATTTATTTATACCCTTAGAGAATTCTGTGACAATTCTGCTAAATATGTTTATTTTCTCTAGAGTGGACTTCAGCACTATATGTTTGTTTATCATGCTGCAATTCAAGCTTCAAACCAGGGGTTGGAACCAAAATTATGTTCCAATTGTTTCGTTCTGAACAGAACCATGTTTCCTTTTGTTCCACTGTTCCGACCAGCAAAATAAAGTTCTCAACCGGTTCAAACCCCCCAAAAAGTACCGGTTTATATTGTTCCTTTTTTGTTTTTGCCTGTGAAATCAAGTTTCTTACATTTAGCTCATTAAATTACTTAATCAATCAGTGCGGATAGCCCAGGCAAGCTAGTTGTTTACATGGCGCAAGATGTGACTGAAATTTCGCAAATGGGGAGAGAGAGTTGAGGAGGCTTTATGTGCTTGGGCATCTTATGACATGCATTATATGAATTAGGTCCACAGAATTATACCTAGGAGGAGCAGCTTCTGTGGAGGAACTTTGAATGTCCTTAGTTTGAGCTAGCTAGCTAAAAAGCTTGAAAGCTTGAGCTAGCTAACAAGCTTGAGCTAGCTAATAATAATTTTGAAAAAAAGTGAATATGTTCAACATGGCCTTTATTTATCTAAAAAGCTAGCTAGCACCAGAATTAAAAACACTTCTTACCTTTTTTGTAGTTAATAGATCCAATGTGAAATGTGATAACTAGGCCTATAGTATCCTTAACTAGCATTGAAAAAGTTAATCCATTCTTCTCTAGCTAATTAAAAATCTCTCTCCCTATCTTCTGAATCAAGCTTGTAACGTCAGTACAGTAGCCTATGCTTCGGAGGGGCAGGTAGCCTAAACATGTACAGGCAAAGATTTTTAGCTTGCAGACAGTGTAATAAGTTTGAGTGACAAAGTGAGGGCTTTGCATAGGTGTTTTGTTGTGGAACTTGAAAAAAATGCCTGGAACGTAAAAGAACGTTATTATCCGGTTCCCATGCTTTTAAAATAAAGGTTCTGTATTGTTCCGTTTCTGTTCCTTGAAAAATGTTGTTCTTTTCCAGTTTTCAGTTCTGTTCCCTGAACCGGTTCCAACCCCTGCTTCAAACACTTAATCGGTTTTGACTTTTTTTGTTTGTTTGCTGTTATCTTCATTGCATACATTCCATTTGCATCAAATTAAATCAAAATGTGGCCAGAATTTAATTAATAGATAGTAATTTTTCTGCACTGCGCTTTCAGGTGTGTTTGATTTGGCCAACAGTATGCCCTGGATGGAGGGCATTTTTGATCTAAGAATCGTCAGTCCTGTTATGTGCCGGAGGACCTCTCAACTAGTGATGACACAGGACTGGCAATTTACTGAATCGTGTCAATGACCTTCATTGAGGACACACTGCTGTGCTGATCAAACACACATCCGAGAACGAAAGTGCTAGAAAAAGAAAACTATCTACAAATGTTTTTATTGTATTCTGGCCTACGTTTCTTGTGAAGGAAATTGGTTTGTTATCAAGGGAAACAAGGAGTATTAATATTTGGCACAATAATAATTGTGAAAAAAAGTGAATACATTCAACATGGCCTTTTATCTTTCTCTCTGCAGATGCAGTTCATGTAACCTAAAAAGGAGGCTTTTGCCCTCTGAAGACAAACCATGAAGCAGCGAGACTTTAACTTTCAAGCAAAAATCCAGTTAGCTGTTATATTCCTCGTCGAAAGTATCAGCACATAAGGACTTGTGAAGGAATCAAGGGGGGGAAACCATGTCCAAGAGGCATCAAGTATAGGACACGGATCCCATTTTGTAAATTGTCTTCCGAGAAACAGTGTGCGCTGCCATTCTAAACCCTCTACAGGGATCACTCATCCCATTTGTCTTCTGTAAAAGATGAAAATGGTTGCGGAAAGGGAGACATTTTGACTTTGCTGTTATGTATGGGAAATAGTGGTTTATCACACACAATTGCTTGATCCGCTCATCAATCGTGCATTATCTAATTTAACCATAACTGATTAGTAACGCTAACCTCTGTTTTATACTATGATTTTCAAAAAATATATATGTATTACGTTTGCAGTAGACATTCCTTGTGTATTGTTTGTATTTATTTATACCCACGAAGGATATGAAAAAAAAAAAAAAATGAATGACATTGAACTCTTCCTTGTGGGAGGTATTCAGGTTTATACATGGGTTTGATTTGATTGTATAATTGGAGTTTGAGAGTGACTGAGTAAAACAAAAAAGTGTTTTATATAAAGATGGAAAAATGTAACCGACTCAGACGGATGCAGCTCTAATCACTGAACAAGTATAATGTCAAGCACAGTTCTTAGTAGCTCAAAGTCACAACCTTGGGGTGATATAGATATCACAAGTGTAATGATTCAACAGTCAATTCTGTGAGCTAGGGTCTTTATTTGTTGAAAGGGAACATTTTCACTCACTAGCAAAGCACTGCATTTGTGATTTGCCAGCATTGCGTTGGGAACGATCCACATTTATGCTTTACACTTGGCATGTAATTTATTTTACATGGAACAATTCTATGGCTGCCTTTCCAAAATGAATGTGCAGAGTGTCCTTCATGCTCTGGCCATCTTTACATAGACCAGCATTGGGGTTGGGGGAAAGAAGGTGGTCTTCACAGGAGGCAGGGGAAAGAGCTGTGGTTGTGTCACTGTGGGGTCAGCTCTGTCTAAGTGGCAGCCCTGGGTTGAAATACTATTTGAAATCATTTAAATACTTTGTTTGCTCTAGCTTGTCTAGAGTGCCAGAAGGGCTGGGTTAGCAGTTTTGGGACTATTCTATTGGTCTATTAAGCCATACAAATCAATCAGGCACAGATAAAGTATGTTAAATGAATTAATATTTGAACAAATGTTGGGTAAGTGGGCAGTAGGGTCCAGTTGAGCAGGGGGAAATGGAGCACTGTTGATCGGTGCGTTGTGTATATAAAATAGATCCTTTCCATCATGGGGGTGGGTGGGATATGTGCAGGATGGTCAGAACATGAAGGTTATTCTATTAATCAAATTAGCATATTTGCTGCATTGTCCCCGCAGATTTATATTTTTGTTTATATTAAATATATAAATAAATGTATGTATGCAGACTTTGGTTGATTTTTCCAATAAAGTGCAGCTTCCACAAAGTGTTTTGCACCAGTATCTTGAGTTTGTGTGGGTGTCTGTGTGAATGGATAATAATGAATTGTAATCAACTGTATTACAGGGGGGGGGATTATACCCATTTGGGTATAAATGAGGTAGAGGTTTATATTTGGTGAAGAGTGAGACAAGTGAATCACTAATTCCCTCAGGTTATAACCAGGGCCTGTATCCACAAAGCATCTGATTAGGAGTGCTGATCTAGGATCAGTTGTCTTTTAGATCTTAATGAATAAGATGATTGTATCGACAGATCCTAGATCAGTACTTCTACTGAGCTGCTTTGTAGATATCGGCCCAGGGCTGATTTAAACCTGTGAAGCATATGGCACAATCATTGTTCCTTAAGAAAACATTCCTGGACCCTTGCGTTGTATCATTGCACGTTTAATGGGAATACATGTCTCTGATGCCAACATGAGGCCAATGCTAGATTTACAAAAGTGTGTGTGTGTGTGTGTGTATTAGTGCTTGGGCCTGGCTACTTGAACCTCTTGTGGATGATGCGGGCAGTGAGGGGCCAGTCCTCGGGAGCCTGGAGCATCCCTGGGGCTGAGGAGGAGCCTTCGGAGCCGGGGGTCTCAGACTGCACAGGGTGCAGGGGAAGGGCCTGGCCCACCACAGTCAGCAGCTTCTGCTCCAGAGGGCCCAGGTGCATGTCTCCCTGCTGGCCAGCACAGAGAGGGGGAAGGGAGAAAAGGGGAGTAGTAGTCCCATATAAGAGATGCATCCTGTTTGGCCCGAGATCCCCCATCGCAACAAGGAGAGAGATTGTTACTCTCAGATCCCTACGTTGTCTCGATTGCATCCACTGCCAAGAGGAAGTGGCACAGAGAGTCAATCCCTAAGGCTCGCTTTCTCCATTCCTTCACTCTCCAAAGCCTCTGTCCCTGGGACTTTTTTGGGAGGATTCAATAAAGCACTGAATGTCTGATTCAATACCTTCCGAGTCTAAAATGAATGGCACGTGTCAAAAGAATAGCCAAGTTCTATGTCACGTTCATGACTTTGTTTAGCACCTTACTGAAATCATGTTCTCTTCAATACTGTGGTAAGATGAAATTCCCAAGTGAATCAGGTGGGCACATGGTTTGGATACAGACTATTGCTGTGATTTATCAGCATGCATAAGGAACACCCAAGCCACACACTGCTGTAATATTTATACTGAACAAAAATATAAATGCAACATGCAACAATTTCATTGATTTTACTGAGTTACAGTTCATATGAGGAAATCAGTCAATTGAAATAAATAAATTAGGCCCTAATCTATGGATTTCACATGACTGGGAATACAGATATGTATCTGTTGGTCACAGATGCCTTTAAAAAAAGAATGGGACTCAGGATCTCGCCACGGTATTTTTGTGCATTCAAAATGCCATCGATAAAATGCAATTGTGTTCAATGTCCGTAGCTTATGCCTGCCCATACCATAACCCCGCCGCCATCATGGGGCACTATGTTCACAACATTGACATCAGTAAACCGCTTGCCCACACGACGCCATACACGTGGTCTGCGGTTGTGAGGCCGGTTGGACGTACTGCCAAATTCTCTAAAACGACGTTTGAGGCAGCTTATGGTAGAGAAATGAACATTCAATTCTCTGGCAAAAGCTCTGGTGGACATTCCTGCAGTCAGCATGCCAATTGCACGCTCCCTCACAACTTGAGACATCTGTGGCATTGTGTTGAGTGACAAAACTGCACATTTTAGAGTAGCCTTTTATTGTCCCCAGAACAAGGTGCACCTGTGTAATGATCATGCTGTTTAGTCAGCTTCTTGATATGCCACACCTGTCAGGTGGATGGATTATCTTGGCAAAGGAGAAATGCTCACTAACAGGAATGCAAACTTGAGAGAAATAAGCTTTTTGTGCGTATGGAAAATGTCTGGGATCTTTTATTTCAGCTCATGAAACATGGGACCAACACTTTACATGTTGCGTTTATATTTTTGTTCAGTGTAGCTACGAGCTCTAGCTTGTGCTGTCACTCAGCTGAGGCTGACCTATATATCTATCGACAGATGACGATGGAGGCTGCCAGCACAGCTTTATCTTTCTACTGAACTTTGGCTACTAAGAAAAACAAAAATGGGTTGGACCATGTTTTTGCTTTCTATTCGACCTGAGCCACCCTCAAATGGAAGACATATTGGCCAATGCAAGGTGAATGCCACTTAGAGACAACCGCTGTAAACATTGGAGCTTATGCCCTTGGTCGAGGGAAGCTAAGTTGAATTGTGTTATAAGGTACCTCTTTAATGTCGGCACAGATGGAGGAAAGGCGAGTAGAGGAAACCACATTTGATTATTGAGATATGCCCATCGACGTCTAGAGATACGTTTTATTTCATCTCCAAGTGATGTGTTGAATCAGAGAATAGCCTGAGATGGGTCTTACCTGCATGTAGGTCTGGCTGCCGTACAGAAGCACACTGAGGTCCTGAGGGGGGTCCTCTGTTGGCCTGTAGGCTGCCTCACTGCAGCTGCCACTTGTTTCATCCCTCTCCAGCTCTTTGGCCTGCTTTTGAGCCCGCCATGTTTCCATTGCTGGGTGGAGGGGAGGTACGGGGCTGCTGCTTACCCCGTCTGGTGGGAACCATGAAAATCATTAGAAATTAGGAGGGGGGGAAGGGGTTAAAATGAGTACAGTGATTTACTGAAAGATAAAAGCCTGTACAGTATCCAATATGGAGAAAATGTGGATAGGGTTAGGGGTGAAAATAATTTGCTCGGTAAATGAAAGTGCCACATTCCAAGAGAGGAACGTGCTGGTAGCCATTTTTGGTTTAAGTTTTTATCTTGAGTTGAGCTGAGAGGACATGCCGTCTTAGACGGAAATGAGTGTTGCCATGTTTCCAAATAGTCTTGGGAAGGGAGCTTTTACTCAGTGGCTTCCTGTGCCCGGGCGGGCCTCCCATTAGAGTTAGACGATACTGATCACAGCACCCTTCCCAGTGGCACACTGGTACCCACTTAGGGGAAGATTGTTTTACTAACCAATCATCAAAGGAAAGTTCCCCCCGAAAACATTTAATCGTGGATCAAAAATGATCAGGTGTTATTTCTGTTTGCCCATCAGCTTTGCTTCGCATTTCATGTGAAATTGTGCATTTTTCTATTTTCTTTCTCATTTTTTGTCTCTGCATTGAAATGCGACAAATAAATCAATAATCATTATTTTGTCAGACGTTTGTGATAATTTACATTTGTAAATGGCAATAACAGATGATTAAGAAACGTGTGAGTGTATTTCAGAAAGGCTAACATTTATATTTGTGATATGATTGTCAATACAGTCTAAGGCAGCAACAGTTGCACAAACTCCAAAAGTGACAAGGAATCACTATTCTGTCCTCTGGTGGTCTTCCCTGCTTATAGTCAAGGAGCTGCACTACTGGCAACACTGGACAAATGTCATCACTTGTCAGCAAAAAAAAAAGAAATCAAAAGTTTCAATTTGAAAGACATCCTAGACCTAGAGTCTACACTGCAGGATCGAGAGCTATCTTTGCAGTGCCATCCCAGCATTGGTTCGCCTGCTAAACAGTTGAAGATAGCTGTGTTGTTTGTATATTTATGGTGTTTTGTTCATTTGTATTTAATAATGTCATTAAGTTGTACTTTTAATTCAGCTTGGTGCTGACATTTGTACAAGAACTTGTCAAATAAAAAATACAAATGATCATCATCATCACCTGATTGTTGGCCACTGACAGCGTTACTCTTCATAATGGTCTCCTGTACTGTGGTGTCAGAGGGTCCCAGTCCTGCCGCCTGAGTCAGGAAGACGTTTCTGTGGACAGGAGAGCAGAGAGATGAGTGAGACCACAGATGGAAAGCAAGGAGAGGGCTGTCTTACCACAGGCGAGTGGATTAATAGAATAGCATTGCATATAATTGATTGCCTGGTCCCAGATCTGTTTGGGCTGTCTTGCCTAAAAATGGCATGACAACGACCATAGGAGTTTGCTATACAACACAAACTGATCTGGGACCAGGCTGTCCAGTTTCATTCACTAACATTTGACATGTCATGTCACACAATGTGACAGTAAAATCAGGGCAAATGGCAATCTACAGTATATGAATGTGGGTGAAGAGTTGTGTTGAGGTGAGGGACCTAGAGATTTGCAGGTCCTCCAGGCGATGCTCAAACAGTTGACTCATGTGCTCAAGATTCTCCTCCTCCAGTTGTTGGACAGCCAATGCTGTAATGGATACCTCTCTTGTGTAAGTGGCAAGCTGTGGGGTATTCCAGAAAGCAGGATTATTAAATTAGCCAACTAACTTTGATAAACAGCCACATATAACTCTTTATTTTCTGGTTGATTAAGAAAGCTTGTATATTGGTTGTTGCTGTTCAGTCAATTATACCTTATCAATTTTAAATCTATATTTCTCAAAAACATGAATCCATCTTTCTGGAACAGCCCCCTAGAGCAAGGGGATGTGCTATCTGATCATGTCTGGTAACACTTTATTCAACAGTCCTGATTATCCCACTGGGACATTTCAACGAAATGTCATGGAACCAACGTGGAACAGAAGTTGAATTGACGTCTGTGCCCAGTGGGAAGCTCCTATTTGCTTGATATACACTGAGTGTACAAACATTATCAACACCAGCTCTTTCCATGACATAGACTGACCAGGTGAATCCTGGTTAAATTATTTCTTATTGATGTCACTTGTTAAATCCGTTTCAATTAGTGTAGATGAAGTGGAGAAGTCATGTTAAAGAATAACATTAGGAAAGTGTTCTTAATGTTTTGTACACTCAATGTATACTGTGTAACAATAGGGTCTCAAACAAAAACCCAATTGGTACCATATTATTTTGGTACGTAATGATGGGTCTTTTTGTGCTTTCTTATGCTTTCCTTTAGAACAAATCATGATGACTACCAGATTACAAACTGTAAAATAAAGCGGTGAACTGTGACCACACACACCATACTTTTTCAAATCCAACGCGCCATACCTCTCTCTTCAGCCACTCATTCTCTTTGATCTCCTGTCGGCTTTGCTTGTCAAGGTGTTTGATGGCCCTCTGAGGAAAAACAGTGTTATCATCAAAACTAAAGAAATCTGTTCTGCTGATGTGCCTTATGTCTTACCTCTGTAGCCAGCTGTTTCTTTTCATCTATGAGATGCACCGTCTTCTTGTCAATTTCATTGAAAGTCACGTCGAGAGTGCGCTGAATATTGTCTGTAGAAGTAAGAGACACGGTCAAGGAAAAGCTGTGAGGACATCTGTCTGTCTGTCTTGTAAATAAATTGACTTTTGTTTTTGTAAATATGATTTCTTTGATTAAATTATTTTGAGGTTCAATCTCGCTTTGCAAGAAAAGTTTATTCCTAAAACCAGTTACTGGTTTGAATAGGGCTCCAGGGGTCCGAATAGGAGTTGACTTCCCAGAAAATATAGGCCTAGTTTTCCATCCCTTATAGGAGCCAAGCCTGTGAGTGCATGTACCTGCCATCTCCTGAAAACCCCTCTGCATCTGAGCCAGCTCAGCCTCCAGGTGCTGGATCTGCCGCTGGTGCTCTTGGCTTCCGATCACCTTATACTCCTGCCTGATGTGCCGCTCAGCCTGCAAGACGAGCACTTCCTCCTCTAGGTGGCTGACTTCAGCGCGCAGCTCTCTCACACGCACAGGGACAAACAATTTGTATTCATGTTATATTAATATTGCACATTCATAATATTCCAGGTGGGGAGTACCGGTGGATGGTAAAAACAATTATTGACAGGTAGCTTTATGACTATGTTATATCGTATTGGAGAGCCTAGAGACTACCTGCCAGTTCTTTCTCCTGGCTACGGACCAGCTCCAAGTTCTGCTGCAGAGCTTGCTCCACCTGTTCTTTGTTGACCACCTCTTTCTGCTCCAGCTTACTCTCCTGTTCTTTAGCCTGCTTCCGCAAGACCTTGATGTGCCCCATCTGCTCCTCTTTCAACTGCTCCCTCTGTGTGAGCACAAAACACTTAATCATTTTATAGTGCAGATTCTGTCACTCAATGAGTCTGTAGGTAGTCTAGACCAGGGTTTCCCAAACTCGGTCCTAGCACTACACAGCTGATTGAAATAACCAACACATCATCAAACTGTGGTCTAAACTAACTACAATGTTCCTTTTTATTAATGTATATCCTAGAATAGTGAGAATTGTTGCAAAATAAAACTACTGATGTTTTGGGGAATGGAAAATGAATACAGGCCCTGTGAATTCACAATTGCCTAATGTTCTCACCAATTCTGTGTATTTTTGCTTCTTTGCCTCGAGTTGACTGACCTCCTCCTGGCACTCATGTATTTCCTTTCTCTTAACTTGGAGCCTAAATACAACACACAAGTAAGTCATAGTCTGGGAATGTGTGGTTGGAGTCAATGTCAAAAAGCTGGCAAGTTCAATTTCTGTTGCTCAAAATGTTTAGCTCTATCAAGCTAGAGGCTTAATTTCTCTGGCTATTTCAAAGGTTATGTATCTAGCTATAACATACCTCGTTAATTTCTGCAGCATTCTAAATAGCTAGCTAGTTGGACCAATGGATCATAAAAAAGTAGGCTTTACATGTAGGGCTTTTCAATTCAGATCGCAGCTAGCATGGTAGACTGACATAAGCCATTCTAGCTAGCTAGCTAGCCAGCCAAACGGTCTTGCTTGCTAGCTAACGTTAGCTAATGTTAGTTCACTGACTTCAGCATAGTTAAATGGCTTTAGATAGTGATATTTGCAATAAACCAGCGTTGCAACCTTGGTTTAGTTTATTAGCTAAGAAGGTTCATAAAACAGTGCTTACTGAAAATGTATAAAGGCCTCCGCCAACGTAGTTTTGTCTTCATCAGATGACTTCTTCTTACCCATGTTGGCTAGCTAAAACTTCACAACACAACTGATTATGTTTGCTTAACAATTTACTGTCTGCTGAGAGATGTCTGCGTTCCCCTATTTCCATGGAAACCCCACATTCTAGATCGACTCAACATTGCCCCCCAGCTTCAAGAAAGTGAACTGTGGGCCTATTCGGGGCGTTACTACATGTGGGTCGTCACTAGGTACCACATCCACAAAGTCATAAACCCATCCTATTTCTACAATTTATCTTCTTAAAATGTTATTTTAAACTGTAACATAACCGTAATCACACTGCTAACCCTAACCTTAAATTACGACCAAAAACCAACTTTTTGTTTTCATGACTTTTTACGATATGCCAATGTTGACTTTGTGGCTGTGCCATCTAGTGGAAACCCTAGGGTCTATCTGCAGACCACGTTTACTACATGCCGTGCGCACTACGCATCACTTACTACATCGGGGGTTCCAAACTTTTTTGGCCTGAAAATTCTCGCCACCCCAACCATGTGAAAAAAAAGATGTAATTAACAGCCGATGTTTACTTTTTTTATTTGAGACTATGGTGTTAAATTGAAAAACATTCTAACAGTATTTCTGATTGTCTTCAACTTACCATCACATGCTTTTAATGTGGGGCTATGACAGTCAATTGCAAATGAGTCTGACATAATGCATCTTATCGCACCACCACTAATGAGATGGGTGTGGAGGCAGCAGGGGACAAGGAGGGAAGCAATGGTGGAATCATTGTGCGATTCTCTTGGCGCGAGTAAAGCTGGTGAGAATGAGTGGACGATGGTGAAGCAGAGTGGAGTAAAAAGGGCTTAAGTTGGAAAAGAACAGCAGTTTATGGTTGGAGTGCGATTCACGAGCAATGATGTTTTTTGGGGTGACCCGTTTGCGGTGTCGAAGATGGTGAAGGACGAATTCGGTAAAGTGGAATCGGTCAGAGTGACCAGGAGCGGTACGATGTTGATTTCGTGTGTGTCAAAAGCGCAAAAGGAGAAATCTCTGTGGCTACAATATGTCGACATATGATGTGTGAAGCTATGCTTTTCAGAGTAGGGCACCGGTTAAAGGTGTCATCTCTGGTGTCACGTTGGACATAGAGGTGTGTGGTTTAGGGATAACATTTCAGGAGTGGTAGACGCACGTCGCTTGAAAGGAAAGAAGGAGCAAAGCCAATCGGTTTCACTGTCGTTTGAAGTGGTTCTCCCGATTTATGTAAAACTTGGGTTTTGGAGACATGGGGTGAGACCGTATGTACAGAAGCCGCTGCATTGTTACAATTGTAAAAAGTTTGGACACGTGGCAAGTGTTTGTTGAAGGAATAAATATGTAGTAGTTGAAGAGTCAGCTGAAGCATGTTGTTGTAATTGTGACGGGAATCACGTTCCCGAGTTCCTGGAGTGCCCTCTAAGGATGAAGGAGCTCGCGGTAGCTAGGATCTGGGCTATCCAGCAGGTCTCCTATATGTGGAGGCAGTGAAAATAGCTGAAGGAGTGAGTAGAGATGAGATGGTAGTGGATGTCCCACAGTCGGCAGTGAATGCCATTCAGGAGAAGGATCCCTACACACTAACAGTGAAGAAGGTGGACTGTGTTGCGTTTATAGCGCAAGTGATAAATTGCACTAGTCAAACTAATAAAAAATCTAAGAAGCTAGACATTGTGAAGGCGGCAAATAGCCAAAATGTTACAGGGAGTACTGAATGAAGAAGTTCCCCCACTCCCAGGATCCTGAGCAGGGATCTGAATATACATTTAAATCTGACTGAAGGAGTACCATTTGTAGTTTTTGTTTGAAATTCAGGGTAGTAGCTGAATTTGCTTAGTGTTTTTTGTTTTTGGTAATTAGCATGAATTTGTTCATCAAAAACATATTTTGTTTTTGGGGTATTTTTTACTACCCAGTACAGTAGGTGGCAGCAATAAACCTTGAAGAAGAAGAAGAGATGGGTGTGCTTGATGCATGTCATGTCAGAGCTTCTCAAAGTCGGGGCGGTCGACAGTGCGCACCTCATCTCTGGATCGATATTCGGTTTTAATGCAGACAAGAGCACTGAATCCAGCTTCACACAGATATGAGCTGGCGAAGGGTACCATGAGTTTTATGGTGCTTTCAAGACAACTGGGAACTCATATTTTTCAGAGGTCAAATCATGACGTCAGTGATCTTCAGGTCGGAAAGTTGGAGCTCTAGAAAGAGGCCTGAGTTCCCGAGTTGGAATTCCAAATTGGATGACCTTTCAAAACAATTTTCCCCAGTCTGAGCTTGATTTTTTCAGAGACTGAGAGTTCCCAGTTCCGAGTTCCCAGTTGTTTTGAACGCGGCATTAATGTTCAGAGGGAGACGGCAGGGTATTACCGATGTTACATGATATGCAAGGAGACACATTTTCTTTTAATTACATAGAAAGTCAACCAAGTCTTTTTTTTTTTTTTTTACATCCCATTGTGAATCACAAAGTTCCTCTCTCAATGTAAACAATCTTTCCAACACTGTTTTCCCGCAGTTCTGTTCATGACTGCGAGTGCAGATTTTTGGCAGGCGTTAGTGACGGACACTGGGTGCTAGCTAGCTGGGACTCCGGTACACAGCAGGCGGGATAGGTAGCAAGCTAGCTAGGACACCGGTAGACAGTGTCTTTCGCCCTCGCCTGTCGGGCACTGCTTTCCCGCAGTTCTGCCTTTTCTGTCAAAACACATATGAGCATCAATCAAAAACTCAGCCAAAGGTCAACAGAGTTCGACATTGCTTGCCTTGAGGCAATCTTTCCCTACAAATATTATGCTGATATAGTCACATCTTTTCTTTCCGGTATTCATGTAGCGAAGTTGAGGGATGGACTTGAATCAGGGTCGACCCTCACTGTCACTAACCCTCCACCCCAAAGCCTTAGCCTGCATTTGACCTGTTATGTCAACATGTCCTGACTCCTTAAATGATGTCACTATCAACTCAAGGTTTCCCATCACATGACTGAGTGAGACTATACCGGTTGAAGTACAATACTGGCCATGTACTGTAGCAGGTGCCAAGCTGTGTTTGCTGGAAAACCTTGTTAGTGCAAAGGTCAAGTTTAGGGTTATAGTGCTCATTTGAGTCTTGTTTTCTATTGCCAAGGTTTTAGGGATTTTGTATATGATATACTGTAGGTTGCAGTCAATTCTATCTCAATTTGTATTGGAAGATGAATACAATCGAAATTAGATTTTATATCAACATTGCCCATTATATATTTGAATGCATTTTCTTTCCATATCCTGAAATGACTATGTAAAAATGTTTGTAAAGGGGAATTTTAGTGGCCTGTTTGCAAATTACAGATGATGGGCGGTGGAAGGGGAAAGAGCAGAAGCGGGTGGTAGGAGCCAACTTCTGGTCTCTGGCCTACAATATTCTTACCTGGCCATTACCAGATGCTCTGCATTATAGGCCTACCATGTGGTGTGTATTTCTCATCCCTAGATTGAGGTACGTTTTCCGAGCCAAATGTCGCACCGGCTCCGTGGTGTCTTAATATACACAGGAAGTCTGTCTGACCCTAGTGCAGCTGTAAGCAAGCGGGTCGGATCTGCTGGTAAGTGTCTGAACATAATCCATCTCCTCGGGACCACTCAATAAGTTGTTCTCATGGTGCAACGCAGTTGTCTTGTCTTGGGTAAGTATTGATCTGCCTTTTTTTGAATGTAAGTTAAAACAATGTTTCTTTTTCTCTATGTATTGTGTGCGATGATGACAGTCATGTTTTATAAGTCTATACTGTAGGCTAAACGTTTAACATATTTTGCCATAAAACAATCAATTGCATGACATTTTATATATTGTAAGTAAACTGCCGCACCTGATTTTTGCAGTGATTTTTGTTTCCTGGATTCAATGAAACTTGCAAAATGATAATTTAGCCATCAGATGACCTGGCTTCCACAATCCCCCGACCTCAACCCAATTGGGATGGTTTGGGATGAGTCGGACCGCAGAGTGAAGGAAAAGCAGCCAAAAAGTGCTCAGCATATGTGGGAACTCCTTCAAGACTGTTGGAAAAGCATTCCAGGTGAAGCTGGTTGAGAGAATGCCAAGCGTGTGCAAAGCTGTCATCAAGGCAAAGGGTGGCTATTTGAAGAATCTCA